CACAAAAAGGTACACATAGATACTGCCTTATTGCCCATAAATCTGTACTTATTACAACTGTAAACTCTGGAATGCAGTTTTATGACTCCCATTTCATTGTAAACTACACAGGCTATTACTGATGCGCGATATTTGAATAAGAGCAATTTTGAATTTTGGGTTTGATTGCTTTTAATTGTGAATTATGCTGAAGCTGCTGTAGTCATTATCTTAAAAACTATTTAATTAAATGCAAGTATCCAGCTGTGTGTATTTTCAAAGAGCCAAAATGCTCTACGATCTTGAATGGAGGAGCAATATATATGTATCACAGCGTTTGCAGAACTCTTCCCTCTTCAGTTTTCTTAGAATTTCCTTACTTTGGGGTGTTTCATTTGCAGCCTTAATGATTGTTTTAGTCTCTGTTTCTTGTGTGTAGCTTGAATTTTCGAAATAATAAGCAGAAATTAAGGATAAGACTCAGCTAGCAGGATCAATATGCAAAGCATCCTGCGCAGAGAGAGGAGTGGAGACTTGAATGCTGTCCCACCCCGGTTACCAAAGAGGAACAAATCTAATACACGCTGACTCTTCTGCCACCGCCACCAAATGTGAGCTTTTTTTTTCCTCTTTATTTTTCTTCTTCAGTCTCTCACAGTCCTAATTACATTTCTTCCCCTCTGAGCGATCGTTGTCCTCCTTCCATTTTCACTCCAGTCCCCATCTTTGTGCAGATCGATACCAGATCCTTATTCAAGTCACTCTCCTCTCACTCTCTGTTTTTTGGGGTTTTTTTGTTGGTTTTTTTTTTATTTTTTCCACAATTATTCCCTATCTCTCCTGTCTGAATTTCTTTCTTTCCCTGGCCACCTTTTAACTTATGTCTTCTCTCTTGGGTTTCTCATTTGTCAGCGTCCTTAATCTTCCTTCTTCTGCCAGTCTCCGGGATGAGCTTATCTGTTCTCTCACCTCCCTTCCCCTACCTAATTTCTCAGGAAAACTGTCTCTTGATTGCCCCTCTTTTTCCCCATACCAGTGGCATCCATCCTCTTAACTCAGCCAGTCCCTGTTCCCCTCCTATATTCACATAAGAATCTGTGCCCCCTCAGACGTGCGAATCCTCAGCCGGTTACACAAACCAGCAAGAGTTCAGCTAAGGCTTCTGCCCAGACTTCAGGCATGCCTCTGAGTTAATGACTGGAGTTAAAGAATCAGCATTAACTTTGAATTTTCTGGCTTTTGACTTTTCACAGCTTGACATTTTTGTAATGCTTTGTCTTTCTGGTACTTCAAAAAAACAGATGGGGAGTAATGTCACAGCAGAATGCATAACCCTGGCTTTGGCAAGTCTGCCACCCCATTGCTACATCTCTCCAGGGCTGGTTAATGGTGTTGTCCTTGCTCATCCTGGAGCATTGCCCCTCCTGGTGCTACATGCTGGAAGAGCCACCATTCAGTGTCGCATTCTGAAGCCAGCTTGGCCACCTTGGGTAGGTGCCACCTTGGGTAGGTAGCAGCTGTAGACAGGCCTCTCAGGGAGGGGAACACGTAGCCTGCCACAATGGTGCTGAGAAACAACAGAAAAAAAGCCAAATAACTGAGGTGACGTGCTGAAAGACACCCAGCCGGGAAGGGTCAGCCCATGGGCAGAGCAGAGAATTGATTCACTAACCTGCTAGATGCATCTCACTGATTTTCTGCAATACCTTGACAGAAACCAGATACCGAAGTGATAGCTAATTTAAAGGTATCAATAGACAGTCACACTCCCATTTCCTGCATCCCAAATCTTGTCTCTAGTCACACGAGCACCCTGTCCATCCTCAGCTACACAATATGCTTAATCTGTGTGATTTTATACACATCATCTTTGAACTGTGACAGATTGGGGCCATGCAAACCATTTCAAAGGCACAATACAACTTAGTATAGCCTAGGAATGATTTCAAGTAGTTGCATATATGGATGCAACTTTGCACGAAGGTGGTTTGTTGGTTTTTTTTTATGAGCTGTGGAGATTTACTAAAGGGATGTAGCCCTGCTAGCCTTCACTGGAGCATTGCACACTGTGTCTCACAGGTCAGCGGGAGGCTGCCTGCCTTCCCCATATCCACATCCCATCTCGGATGCCTAGAGGAAATAAACGGAATTAAAAATGTTTGATTTGAACTGAATGCCATCAGCTGGATGTTTAAAATGGAATGTGATCTGAAAAAATATATGATAAGGTAATTGGGGGTTAAGGTGTTATTGAGTCCTGAAATGCAATTAGAGAGATACTATTCACATAGTGAGCTGCACACCTTTAATCTTAAACTATTTCGGAAGCTCCATTTGTGTGGTTTTTTTGCTCTGCATTTGCAGGAAAGTTCCAGCCTAGGTTAATAATATAGTGGCTGTACTTCACAATGCTCTCCAATGTACAGAAGTAGCTATTAAACTGTCAACAGCACTAAAAGATGATATTTTGATGGCAACGGATAGGAACTCCATCTTCCTACTCATGCTACTCAACATTTCTGTAGCTTTCAAGCACAGTCAACCATAATTTGTCGCTGACTTGCGTACGTGACATTGGCAGAATAGGTAGTCTGAGCTACAACTGTGTCAATCAATTTTTCAGGCAAAACTCGCATAGCTTCAGTAGACAGCTAACTCTTGCGCTCATTCCTGTTCACCGTCTACCTGAAGACCTCTAGAGAAGTTCCAGGACATGCCAACTTTATTGCTGGAGCTTTTCCACTGGTATCGATGTGCAGAATCCCCTTCCTCAGCTGCAGCCAGAGATACCATTATGTATACAGAATGAAGAGCAAATTCGATCTTGAATTTTTCCCCTCATCCTGCAGGGAAATGTTTCCCAGGACTGAGGTGGCCGTTAGCTGTCTGCCTATCTTCTCCCTTTCTGTCCAGCCTTTCCTTTAATGTTGCACATATCCTAAAGAACATTTTCAACATTTAGTGCAGGTGAAGAAATAGCTTTGTTTTTAGGTGGAAAAAACATTATTTGGCCATTGGTAGAAGGCCACCATAGGAGGGGGTGACCTCAGCAGAGATGTCTGCAATCACCACCTCGAAACCCTGCTGCACCTGCAGTCTGGAAGAAGCAACAAATCCTAGTCTGTGCCAAAATCTGGCAGATTATCACAAACTCTTCCATCCCTGCGGCTGTTTTAAGCTGGTGATGGAAGTCTTGAAATTCATGCAATCCCATCTACAACAAAGACTGAGTAAAGTTGTGGTTTTCTCAGTCTGAAACAGTCTAGAATAAGAATATTAGAGGCAGAAATATGCTTTGCTTATAAGTTCTCAGGCAAAATCAAATTACTTCATATCCTTTTGTTCCGAGTTGTTTTTCTTCCATGTCTTAACTGGAATGATGAGAAACTGGTGGGAGGAAAAGTGCATCCACCTGGGTTTTCTAGTGAGGCTCAGTAGCAAACATTATGAAGTCTGCCATGAAATGTTCATCAGCCTAATTTGCATTGCGGTGTAGTGGTTCTCTGGATGAAATTTTTAAATCACTGCAAAATGTTTCCATTTAAAGATTACTAAAATGACTATATGTAACTAATAGGAAGATATGTACTGTAGCCTTCAGTGAAGTACATGAGCACAGTACAATGCTAAAAGGCTTTTAAGGAATTTGTTCTTATGTTCTCTACGTTTGAAGTCTTTATGCCTGTTCTGAGTCCAGTAACATTTTGTTATTTGTTTGGCAAAAGCATGTCTTCTAGAAAGGTATCTAGGAAATGTAGAGGTCACTAGTGTACTCAGTAGACTTTTGTAGTAGGTAATCACCTTCTCTGTTAGAAATGTGGACCTCAGAAGTACTTTTCTTCTAGGTATTTTCTCCTCGTAAAGCCCTTAGTACACTGCAGTCAAGTTAACTCTCAATATCCTTTTTGACCGCAAACCAGCTTGAATCACATATTTTCAAGACCTTTTTCCTTAGTGAGTTCAAACAATTTCTGCAGCTATTTTCTACGCTCTCTTGTTTGCCAGTGTCCTGTTTAGAATACGGATACCAAACTGAATACAATATTCCAGTGTTCCTCTTGGCAATATCAGATAAAATGGCAAAATCTGTGTTTATACTTCTCAATAATACATCATGTAACTACATAGGTAATTGATTAAAAAATCCTTCATCAGTGTTCCATTATTAGTTTTTTATCAATTAATCAGAATTATGATTATGTTACTATTATTATTTTCAGTTGTTGTAGCTTTCTAGATGGTAAACTTTGAGGGAAATAATGGTGCTGCTGCTTATAGGTTTTTAAAAAGTTAAATAAAAATTAAAATATCACATTGAAAAATATCACCTTCAAAATCATCTGTTAAAAATAACACTGCCGTGTATGACTATATTTTAAATAGTAGATTATAAATTTGCTTGTTTCCATTGATTTTTTTTTTCCCCATATCTTGTACTTTGAACACAAACATTCTGGAAGCCAGGTGTTCGCTATTTAGCAGTCCGAGAGGTCATTACAGAAATATGCACAAACCCACATGCGGGCAGTGTACTTGGAGATTTCCTCTTAACTTTCCTCAAGAAGCACTCGGAAACAAAGAGCCCAGTTTCAATATTTAAGCCAAGAAAATGAAACATTCATGTGCTGTAGCTAGATATTGTTGCTGTAGCCGGACAGCCCACGCCTGCCTGCCTGCCTAAGGTTGGGGATGCACAACTGAATTTATATTCTGGCAGTAAAACCTGCATTTAGGGACACAAATTTTAACCAATCAGACTAAATAAATCAGCAGGCCCAGGTTTTATCGTCACGGATAACCCTCATTAATCCCGCGAGCTTTTCCTGAAGACAAAGGGCAAAATGAATGGCTTCATTGGAGGCGCCTGAGCAGCATGCTAATGAGGGGAGGTGGAGGGCATGAATTATTCATCCCCTTGCAGCCTGAGCAGGCAGATCCTGGCTTTTCCTGTTACCATTGCAACAAGTGGCGGCTGGCCCAGCCGCGCTCGGGCCGTCGCGCGTCCCCGCGGAGCGCCCATAATGCCTTCTGGAGGGGGAAAAGCTCCGCGCCCCTGCTGCACCCGACGCAGCCGGGTGGATTTTCAGGTTAAGCCTTCTGCAAAATGGACCCGGGAAGCACAGTCTTTCATAACTCAGATGTACTTGACCGTAAACTACGCTCCTTGGAAGGCAGCAGGTGACTTTGGTAAGTTTGTGCAACTTCTGATGTTTTCTGAGTCTGCTGTAAGCTCTTTTCAGTTTACAATAGCTATACTATGCAGTGTTTTACCAGTCTGTCTAAAAACAGCCTGAGTTCTTTCTGCTTTTAAAGTGACTGAAAGAAGCCCCAAAAGGTATGAAATATCTTTATGTTTAACTCTAGAAAATATGTAAACTGTATCTACAGAACTGACACCAAAGTTACGATCAAGCCTTCTTAAATTAACTTGTATTACTTAAATTTCCAAATCCCTGTAGCAGACTACTAAAACAAAATCTATTTATGATCCAAGTCTGATTTCTTGCAAACAGAACTGAGAATAATGCAGTTCAGTATCGAACTGGAGAATCTGAAAGAACATGTGTTGCTTCTCACAAGAAATGCTTGTTCCCTGCTGTGAGTGTAACTTGTGTTGTTGCTCTTTATTCAGCTAAACGCGTTTCTGATTGGGTTGGGAGCAGGAACTGAGACCTGCGTAACATTCTTGCCATGCATGAAGTGTTCTGTTGTGTCATAAAATAGTTGAAAAGCATTGGTAACTTACCCAATTTTTCTAAGGATAGGAAGGAGATATATTTTGTACGTATAGCATATGGCCGTGATGAAGCAAGGTTAGACTTACCACTTCTTTACAAGGTGAAAAGCATCAAAATGTTTTGCTTTATTATTCATTATCAGTATACCTACCTATAACAAGTTTCAACTGTTTGATTTTTGTTGTTTTTCCAGTAGTGATACTATCAGCATTGCCCGAGAACTCTCAGGTAACTCACTACTTGGCACAGCTAAAAAATTGATGTAAATAATCAGCTCGCAAGAGCAGAGGCCATGAATAGGAGTGTGAATATGAAATGAATCATGAATAAGTTCTGATTGTGGATAATGAGCTCTCCTTCTTTTTATTTGTTTGCTTTTAATTACATAGTGCTGATTCTGTTGCTTCTACTTTATTATTTCTTTTGTTTTGATCATAAAAGCATGGGTTTTTTGACATCCAGAACACAGCCAAATTTCGAAGGGATAAAAGTACAGCACAATGATATCTAGTGCTAACAGTAATTAAATGCCCTATGTTTTAGGAAAAAAACAAGAGGTGAAAATAGGGATATGCAAATAAGGGGAGATATGCAAACAATGGATGTAATCCTGCACTCCTTAATCATGGGAGTAATCCTTATTCACCTAAGTAATCCTGTTGGTTTCAGCAGACTCACATCAGCGGCTGCTGCCATGTAAGGCCCCTATTTTTAAAGGAGATAACAGTGTCTGTTTTACCTGCTTTTTCTGTAATGTAATTTTAACAACGTGGGTTTTAGTGATGCTTTTGAATGTATTAGTGATGATATTATATTAGACTTTACCAAATGTCTATTTTGCTTGAAAAGTATAAAAGAGAAAAATGGAATCAGGCATAGGATGTGTCAGCAAGCAGGTACAAACCCCACCTGTTTTATCAGAGAGGTGCTTGCGGTGGAGTAGCACTACTCACCCTGCTGATTGTGTTTGTAGGTTACTTTTTGGCACGTGAGGTGTATAAACTTCCTCCTTTTAGGATAGGATGCAACTTTAGGAAAAAATTCACTATGACACCCCCTGTCTCATAAAGTACATTCGGGTCTCCATAGAAGTGATGTTGATAAATACAGTTCATCTTTCTGGTGTAAATACGTGGGTTTTGTGGTAACGTCCTACGATTGTTTTTATTGCTGTTATGGTTTCTGATCTTGCCAAAATAACACCTGCAGTTCTGTCCTGGGAATAATGCATCTGTATAAATGTCACAGTTGTCTTGCCCTCCTCACAAGCCCAGCTTGGTGCTTCTGAGCTTTCCACTCCAAGACCTTATAGTGCTGCCCTGTAATCCAGGCTGGGGCTTGGGAGCACCTGTGTGCCCTTCCCCAGGCAGTGCCTCTGTTAATGAGGGAAAACCAATTACTTAAAAGCTTTTGGTGCAATGGGGTTGAGGAGTATAAATAGTCATGAACTGCTCCTGGTGCTCTGCAAGCCTTCAACGTGTGTTTGTGCTGGATGCCAAGAGCAGTAGCACGGCTGTGAAGGTTACCCTGTAACCACTGCAGTCGTTGCTGTGTTAGGATGCTGCCTCTGTGGAAATATTCTCTGGTGTTCACCCTGAAGGAGCCAAAATAGAAATGAAGTAAAAATGCAGTGGATTGGCGGTTCCAAACTTTACACAAAGCTTACAGGTAAGTGGAGTTGGTGTTAAGTACCTGTTGGCTTTTTGTTGTTTGCTTCACAAATGAACTGATTATTCTTTACCCAGCTTCAATACACGGCAAAGACTTTGGTGTTTAGTATTTGCAAATGAGGTATACTGTATGATTAGTATTTGCACAGCGATATCATATAGAAGCGGTGTAAAGCTGAGGCTAAATGGCTGTTCTGGGCAGTAGAGTGCTGGAGGCAATAAAATGACCCGTGCCAAGAGGCTGGAAGGGCAGACTGGCAGCTGCTGCCGGGAGACTGGAGTGACCCTTGGCAGCAGCATTTCTTTTCAATTACTCCATGCAGGGTCCTAGCAGGAGCATTAGGTCTCTCCAGGTAAATATCTTTCTGTCCACTGCCCATGGGGTCAGTTCCTAATCTTTGGAGAACCCCACAAGCACATTAACTTGAACTTTATAACCATGGTTCTGAGGGTACTTTTTTCCTACATCAGTTCTTCTTTGTTGAATTATTAAAAAGACCAAAAAAATCACATGCACTGTTTTTGTTGAAGGATCTCCTTCTGATGATGAGCAGAGGTCGGTGCCCATTTTAATTTTTAACAGACTTTCAGGGATGGCCGTTAATGCAAATTTGTTGAAAAGTCTTTAGAACTTGGCCAGAAAAAGTGTTTTAGAATGGTTCAGCTCATTTTGTATCAAAAACCATGTGTGCGGCAGTTTGGAGCAACCTGAGTTCTTTTCTTTTGTGCATACAAACTACGTACAGTGAGAGGTGTTTTCTGTGATCACTGACATGTTGTTCATAGGATCACAGAGTGGGTTGGGTTGGACCATCCAGCTCAACCCCCCTGCCATGAACAGGGACATCTTCAACTGGATCAGGTTGCTCAGAGCCTCATCCAACCTGTCCTTGAATGTTCCCAGGGATGGGGCATCGACCACCTCTCTGGGCAACCTGTGCCAGGGTTTCACCACCCTCAGCGTAAAAAAAAATTCTTCCTTGTATCTAGTCTGAATCTCCCCTCTTTTAGTTTAAAACAATCACCCCTTCTCCTGTCACAACATGCCCTGCTAAAAACTCATTCTCATGTCTCTCTTGAGTAGAGGATGCCATGTCTCCTTGCTTCCCACCCAAGGCAAAGGAAAGGGGAATGTGTAGTCTCCGCTACTTCACAGAATCACAGAATGGTTGGGGTTGGAAGGGACCTCTGTGGGTCACCCAGTCCAACCCCCTGCTGAAGCAGGGTCACCCAGAGCAGGCTGCACAGCACCACGTCCAGGCGGGTCTGGAATATCTCCAGAGAAGGAGACTCCACAACCTCCCTGGGCAGCCTGGGCCAGGGCTCCGTCACCCTCAGAGGGAAGAAGTTCTTCCTCATGTTCAGACGGAACTTCCTCTGCTTCAGTTTGTGCCCGTTGCCCCTTGTCCTGTCGCTGGGCACCACTGAAAAGAGCTCAGCCTTCACTTCTCCAGGCTGAACAAGCCCAGCTCCCTCAGCCTCTCCTCGTAGGGAAGATGTTCCAGTCCCCTCATCATCCTCCGAGCCCTCTGCTGGACTCTCTCCAGTAGCTCCTCTTTTCCCCAGGTTAGAAACTCTGTGAGAGCAAAGCTGTGGGTGTGCATGCTGCGAGCAGTGGTAAGAGCAGGTTCTTTGTTGTTTGGCAGCATTCCCTCCTTTGTGTAAGCTGTGTTTTGCTGCTTGTTGGGGTTGGTGACACAAAGGCAGTGCATTGTGGCTGTTCGGCCTGACTGTGGGCATTGCTGTGGTTGATGGACTTTGCTGCATCAACATGGAAGCGTGCTGAGTCTTCCTACTTAGGGCTTCCATTGCAAAGCTTATATAAATGGTAGTTATGCTGAGATGAGATATTTGAAACAATACCAACCTCCAGTTCTAAGCCCAAGTAGTACATGAAATAAAAGGCAAGTTTTAAAGTACAGGTAGAGGAAATTTTCTAGCTGTCATTTTGCAGCTGTCTGGGAGTCTGTGGCAAAGAAAGCAGATAGACTGGAAAAGCCAGAGTGCAGCCCGCGCAGCGTGCAGATTGAGCAAGGCCTGGGAGCGTGGTCCTGGGAAAGCCGAGCCCTGGATGAATGTCAACCACTTAATTCACTGGTCCCCCAGGTCAGAACCACATAGCAAACTTCATCTAACATAGCATGACGTGGTCGCTGGCTGTGGAGCACAGCCTGGAGCAGGAGATGTGTCCCATGGTCCAGCATGTCCTTGTGATGGGACTTGCTGCATTTGTTGTGTGTAGGACCTTGGGGACAGCAGTACCATGTGCATGGCTGGGGAACAGTTTCCAGCAGAAGGGAACCAGAGACACTGTGGATGACTCGCTTTAGTCTTTAACCTTAACAAAAGACTAAACCAATATAACTAGCTTAATTATATGCTTATTAGTAGTAGCTGCCTAGTGGCTTGTAAGTGGAAAAGCTGAGCTGGTATGGCTATATATATTAAATACAACAACAGCACAGATAAAACTGCAATGCATATGAACTTCTTAAAGGTTTTTACTTGTTCTCCATGTGTTCCTTTGCTCTAAACTCCTTCCTGTGTCTGAGAGCAGCCAGGCCTGGAGGAGCAGCGGTTGTTACCCGCTTTGTGGTCCAGCCCAACCCCAAGCTGATATCTCCCCAGGGCATGTTTCAAGTGTTCTTCTCTCATGCAACACTGCTCTTGTTCCATGTGACATTTCTGTCTCTGTATCTCTGCAGAGGGAGAGATGAGCAGATATCGATCACACTCAAACCCATGTGTGTGGTCCCAGGCCCAAACCTGTCTCAGATTT